ATCGATACATGAAGTCAGCTGAAAATGACTATTCAATTGGAACAAGATTCAGCATGCAGTTTGATGGTGAAGAATGTCCTGAACCAAAGTGCTCCATGTAAGTTTTTGTGGGTATTTGTCTTTCACAATAATATAATCTATCTGCAATTCTCATTTTCCGGAGTTGTGGAATGATATCAATATCATTTCAATATTTTGGAATAATGACTAAATGAACTATCTAGCATGCTTTGATTGATTAGCGTTACAATGGCAATATAACAAAAAGTTATAGCAGATGATATCTGCCCCACTGGAACACATTTCTTGTCTATTCTTCTTTTTTTCTGAATTTATGTTTATTAATCAGATTTGCAGGGACTGTAGTTGGCATTAATAATATTGATTGCATCAGGTGGCCTGGTTCAGAGTGGAGATGTCTGAAGGTAAATGCATTCACGATGCTCTTTAACATTCCAGAAACATATTACTGGTAGATACACATGTATGGATTTGTTTATATTCTTCTTTATTAGGTGCAATGGGATGCCCCATCGAAGAAAATTGTTCGTCCTCAAAGGATTTCTCATTGGAACATTGAACCGGAAGAGGTCAAGAAGAAGTGCTCTTCCATTCTTACTGATCGAAAGAGGGAACGCCCTTTGGATCCATCAACTCCTGGGTTTACTGTTTTAGTCAGTGAAGGTAAGTAATATTCATATTGTTTACTCTGGGCTAAAATTTCAATTTGCAAGAGCTTTTGTCAGAAAAATGAGCTCTATTTGTGACAAAAGAAAGTTAATGGTAACTCAATGCTTTATAGTTTATTGCCATACTCTGCTATGCTACTGATAAAGAAAAAATTCTGCTATTCCCAAGGCTTATCTAAGGGCTCAGTTGAGCATCCACCAAAAAGACAGTTGGAGGTCTTGCAAGGTCAAGAAAACAGAGCCATAGATGCTCATGAATTCGGTGCACTCAGGCAACCACTGTTATCACATTTAATTCCCCAACCAAATCCTGATTGGGGCCACCCGCAAATTGGATTGGAGAATCAGCCGCACTTTCTGATTGGAGATGCTCATGAATTTGGTGCACTCAGGCAACCACTGTTATCACATTTAATTCCCCAACCAAATCCTGATTGGGGCCACCCGCAAATTGGATTGGAGAATCAGCCGCACTTTCTGATTGGAGATGCTCATGAATTTGGTGCACTCAGGCAACCACTGTTATCACATTTAATTCCCCAACTAAATCCTGATTGCGGCCACCCGCAAATTGGATTGGAGAATCAGCCGCACTTTCTGATTGGAGATGCTCATGAATTTGGTGCACTCAGGCAACCACTGTTATCACATTTAATTCCCCAACTAAATCCTGATTGCGGCCACCCGCAAATTGGATTGGAGAATCAGCCGCACTTTCTGATTGGAGATGCTCATGAATTTGGTGCACTCAGGCAACCACTGTTATCACATTTAATTCCCCAACTAAATCCTGATTGCGGCCACCCGCAAATTGGATTGGAGAATCAGCCGCACTTTCTGATTGGAGATGCTCATGAATTTGGTGCACTCAGGCAACCACTGTTATCACATTTAATTCCCCAACTAAATCCTGATTGCGGCCACCCGCAAATTGGATTGGAGAATCAGCCGCACTTTCTGATTGGAGATGCTCATGAATTTGGTGCACTCAGGCAACCACTGTTATCACATTTAATTCCCCAACTAAATCCTGATTGCGGCCACCCGCAAATTGGATTGGAGAATCAGCCGCACTTTCTGATTGGAGATGCTCATGAATTTGGTGCACTCAGGCAACCACTGTTATCACATTTAATTCCCCAACTAAATCCTGATTGCGGCCACCCGCAAATTGGATTGGAGAATCAGCCGCACTTTCTGATTGGAGATGCTCATGAATTTGGTGCACTCAGGCAACCACTGTTATCACATTTAATTCCCCAACTAAATCCTGATTGCGGCCACCCGCAAATTGGATTGGAGAATCAGCCGCACTTTCTGATTGGAGATGCTCATGAATTTGGTGCACTCAGGCAACCACTGTTATCACATTTAATTCCCCAACTAAATCCTGATTGCGGCCACCCGCAAATTGGATTGGAGAATCAGCCGCACTTTCTGATTGGAGAATCAGCCGACTACTGGTCTCCAACGTTTACTTCCTCTGGAGCCCATGACAGTGTTGAAGTAAGCAGAAGCTTGTCTTTCCCAAAATTCAACTCAACTAGTTCTGTCTCTGTAGACTGTAAGGCTCCTGAAGAGTACAAGATTAAAGCTCCACTGAGCCAACCAAATGGCAACGCCAAATGCATGCTTTTTGGAGTCAATATATTTAGTAGTCCTCTGGAGCTCCCTTCACAACAAGTTGTCTCTTGTAGTGATCTTCATAGTGTCTGTCCTGCTCTTCCAGTGGTATCCCACTCAAGCATTTCTGAAACTGACCAGGTCTCAGAGACATCTAAGAGTGTTTATGGCAACCTTTCGGAGAAACAATGCAAGAACTGCTGTTCCATCACTGGGCGGAGTTGCACAAAGGTAGTTGCTCTTTAATCCATTCCAGATGTATTTGAGAACTACACTTTTAGGAAGAAGCCCTGCTGATTTAAACTGTTTCATTGACTTTCTTGGTAAAGTTTTCTGATCAGGTTTAACCTCGTTTTCTTTAGAAAGATAAGTAACTTACGCAACCAAAATCTTTCTTAAAACCCATTTCCCCAAAATGTCCTACTTGCACATAATGTGGTTGGATTGACTAATGTGAAAGAGATTTTGAGGTATTATAGAATTTTTTCGCCTTGCAGGTACTGAAGTATGGAACTGTTCTTGGAAGATCAGTTCACCTAGCTCGTTTTGATGACTACGATGAACTCATTCGTGAGCTTGACCAGATGTTCGACTTCAAAGGGTCGTTAATTGACGGGAGCAATGGCTGGCATGTAACCTACACAGATGGTAAAGGGAACATGATGCTGATTGGAGATTACCCATGGCTGTTACGTACCAAATCCCACTTAGCTGCTTTAAACTACTACTTTTAAGGCAATGCTTCATTGTTAGAGCTGCCATTGTTCTATTGTACTAATTCTTGACATTGTTATGGATGCAGGGAATTCCGGGTCATGGTGCAGAAGATGTTCATTTGTCCAAAGGAAGATGTTGATAAGTTGGATCCAACTCCACCAAACCCAACACCATTATAATTCGTACTTGTTAGGGTTACTCCCATCTTTGTGTCTAATCCCAAAGGAGGTCTGCATACATAGTCGTACAAGTAATACAGCATACAGTGAATCTATGTAGCTATAGGTTGTCCATGAAATAGTGTGAACTTCAATATGACCTGGTGGTTGTTGCTTCTTTGTGACTAAAAGGGCCTGATAGCGGCATACAACTTCGCACTAACATAAACTATATGTTTTTTGAGGAAAATTAAGTTTTTTGTATGCTGATCGCACTTATCTGGAAAATTCTATGATCAATTTCAATTTTAACAAGCTTGGAAGCAGCAGTAAGGATTGAATAAAATGGCATGTTTTTTTAGTGCATGGGTGTAAAGGTTTTGATGCATTCTCGCCTTGATCTATTCTATGACGCATACACTCTGCCTAATTCTTTATTTACATGTTTACTGCTATGTAACTTTTTTGGTTTTTTCTCGTCATATGATTGATGAACTTCGAACAACTTAATGTTGCCTCTGAGGAGGGAAAAAGAAAAGGGATATTTAGGATCGTACTTGGTGTTTGGCATTGGAACAAAATTTTCGCATTTGAATCGGAATGATTTAGGTTTGTATAAGTTGGTGATGGTAAGTTGGGGAAGAGGTAAACCACAAATTCATGATTAGTAAACTGTGAAATGTTATATCTGTACCGAAATATGTGGTTCTCCAACAGACTGAAATGGCATGAATATGGTGAATGGACTTGGAATATGGCAATGTTGATTGATTATGGGCATATTTATAGTGGCCTTTGATGTTGTGGAATGGTGTATCAGCAAATTTAACACAACTATCCCGTTTTAGTTCTTGTTGGTGTCAGTGTTTGTGTTTGTGTTGCTGCTGCTATTGCTTTTGATGCAATGTTTATAATTTACCAACTATTTTGGATTTCATGCTGAGCTGAGTCCTTGTGGGCAGATCTTGAGTCTTGGTTGATTTGTTCTACATCTGCCTAATAAATAAATTACTAAACATACAATGTTACCAGATCGGGCAATTCTCATGCAATTTTTGGATTTATACCGGATGTTCAATGTTCAAACAGGGTTGTAAGATGGCAGATGTTTCAAGTTGTTATAGCAAATGATAGTAAATGTTTTACATCTACAAAAGTTGCTACTTCTGCTAAAAATTTCAAGGGGACCTTATAATTCTTTTAACATCCGTAAGTTTACTCTAATTGGGTAGGAAAATCCAATGTTGGCTGCTTTTTTATTTTTATTTTTTTTATTCCAATGTTAAGGAAACAACTCTAGGTGTCTGTTGGCAACTTTGATTTTTTATTGATATTTTTATTTTTTTTTATGAGATAAAGAAGTTAGTGCATTTGGAATGATTTTTTTAAGGGCAAATTACATATACACCCCTCCAGGTTTGACAAAATTACAGATACCCCCCTGAGGTTTGAGAAATTACGAATTCCCCCCTGAATGCTATATTTGCATAAGAAATTAGGGGGTAATTTGTTATAAAATATAAACCTCAGGGGGTAAATTGTTATGAAAATACAAACCTCAGGGGGCGGGATGTAATTTCCGAAACCTCAGGGGGGTATCTGTAATTTTGTCAAACCTGGAGGGGTGTATATGTAATTTGCCCTTTTTTTAATTGAATAAGTAGTGAGAAAAGGAAAAAAAAAATTGATTGATTAATGTATATGTTGTGATATTTTAATTTTTTAAACAATTTTTTGATTTTTTAGTCAAAAAGTTGATTGTCAAACGGTACCTTAATATTTATTGTAATTAATAATTACTCAAACAATGCACTCACAAAAAACAAAATTGAAAATTTATCAGAATTTACAAGTTGTGGACTAAATTTTGAATATTATTTAAATGGGCTAAGTATAACTCTAGCATTTTTGTTTTTTTTTTGATCTAGAGTTTAACTTTATATCATAAATGCAAATTACTTTTCTTGCAAAATAGCATTTTCATTTTATTTTGATAGTTAATTACCGAACCCCCGCGCAAGGTTGGTTGGTTCCTTCCTTGACGAGTCTTGGTTACACGAAACGACACCGCTTCTAAAACGTCATCGTTTTCGGGAAATATACATGGTAGGCATGGTATACCTCTCATCCAAAACGATCCGGATTCAACCGAAGAAACCGTTACGCTTCTGCGAATCAAACAACCGAATTGGGGAAAGACAAAGTGGTTCGATTCGAGTTCAAAAAACTGGAAATCAATGGCGTCCTTGTTGTTCATTGCTCCATCTATAACTGTTCCAAACTGTAATCTTTGTTCAAAGATCCATGGTAGTAGCTTCAGAGTAATTGCTAATCCTACCCTTAATTTTCTTTCTGTCTCTTCTCGACCCGAAGATCATCTTCGCTTCGCCTCTATCCATAGATATCAATCGTATTCGAGCAATGAAGAAGAAGAAGACTCGCAGGAAGGCCTGGCCTGGTTCAAGACCTTAGGGTTCCCGAGCATTGGCTCGACCCTTCCAAAGCCCTAGGCCCCGTTTGTTTGGGTTTATTGGGGGTTATAGGGAGGGGATTGAGATTACTAATCCCATGATATTACTAATGGGGCGTGTGTTTTGAGAGATGGAGGGGGGACAATTAATCCCTTGGTATTAGTAGTCCCCTTAAAAGGGGGATTGATAAGGAGGAGGGAGATTGGTAAGGAGGAGGTAGAAATGATATTAGAAAAATAGTGAGGGGATTAGAATTTTTTATATTTTTTATATATTGAGAATTTTTTTTAAATATAATGTTTAATTTTTTATATTTTTTTATTTATTTTATTATTTTATATGAAAATAATTTAATAATTTCTCACTATCAATCCCTTCTATTTTATCTCTAAAAACAAACGAGCATGGAGGTAATCCACTTTTGATTTACATAAACTTGGGTTTTGATCAGCTTTCGACCCTTCCAAAGCCCTAGGCCCCGTTTGTTTGGGTTTATTGGGGATTATAGGGAGGGGATTGAGATTACTAATCCATGATATTACTAATGGGGCGTGTGTTTTGAGAGATGGAGGGGGGACAATTAATCCTTGGTATTAGTAGTCCCCTTAGAAGGGGGATTGGTAAGGAGGAGGTAGAAATGATATTAGAAAAATAGTGGGGGGATTAGAATTTTTTATATTTTTTATATATTGAGAATTTTTTTTAAATATAATGTTTAATTTTTTATATTTTTTTATTTATTTTATTATTTTATATAAAAATAATTTAATAATTTCTCACTATCAATCCCCTCTATTTTATCTCTAAAAACAAACGAGCATGGAGGTAATCCACTTTTGATTTACATAAACTTGGGTTTTGATCAGCTTTATTGTTTGTTTATGGTTAATTAATTTACTTTAATTGGTGTTTGTTAATTATTTCTTGCTTGTCTTCATCTCTTCTCTGTCTTTAATTGGTTTAGTTGGAGTTACTAATGACAAGAAAAGATTTCTACTATTGTTGGAAAAATTTAACTTACATATTTCATTCACATTTTTTTTCTCTCTTTTTAAATTCTTACCTAAATTTATAAAACCCAATCCGTATGAAAAGAGAATGGGAAAATGTGTATGAAATATAAATTAAAATTTTATTTTTTTATTTTTTCTTTCTATTTTCAAATCGCTATCTAAATCAATAATTCAAATACAATGTTAGAGTTATTACATTTATGTTGTTGGTCGGTTCCTTTTAAGTTAGGAGTTAATTGTGGGGGAATCTGTTATTAGTTTAGTTGATTTTTTTTTTTTTTTTCTTTCTTGTTTTTGTAAGTTGTTTGATATATGTGGAAGGATGGAAGCAAATCCTCATTATATGGAATCTTGAACAATTAAAAGAAAGATTCTAGTAGGAGGTGCTATTCCACATTAATTTCATTTGGTTGAGTTTCTTAAGAGGTGCAACTCCATATCAGTTTCATTTTACTTTTGTAAGAGGATGATTTGTGAAGGATGATTGGGTTTCTTAATCAAAGCAACCTTCACTACCACCATTCATGAGCAATTTCTGGCTACGGGCCTAAGATCAAACATTGCAACCAAAGGAAAATTCATGTGCATCGAACTAGGAGTTGTACCACATGGCATAAAAATGTCAGACTATTGGAGATGTGACTAAAATGCTTATAGTCTGATCTCTCATTTGGCCTGTGCTCTTATATAACATTCCTTCCATCTTTCCCATCCAGGTCACACCTTTGCATTTAAAATTTTATTAATTTATGCCTTTAACTAACTTGAGCAAGCAATCTTTGAATTTGGAGGTGAACATGTGACTTGGTTTAAAGCGTCGCCATACTTTCTTCTACTCTCTCTCTCTATCTCCTTGTATGTGAAGAAATTAGTTTCCATAGTGTACGGAGAGCAAATATTTCGGCAAGCCCGTACTCCTTTCTTCCGAGCTCCGTTACTGTCCGATCACCTGCGAGCAAACAACGATGAGCTACCCGGCGGTGTGTGGTCGGAAAAACTCCTCCGACGATCAAGTTAGAACACACACACAGGGGATAGATAGAGAGAAGGGAGAGTGTTTAGTTTTTAGTGTATGACTCACCAAATGTTCCTCTGTCTGCGTATGGGGGGCGCAATCATACTTATATACCTTTTGCGCTCCAAATCTACTCCCAGTGACCTCTCAACACGTGGCACTGCTATCCCATCTGCCAGCATAAACCTTGCTGAGCACCACCTAACCCAACTGCCTGCCCATGCTCCTGGGAGCTCGGCAGCCGGGCAGTATCATCTCGGCCATCGTCTGCCATGCTGCGCTTCATGCCCAAGTACTCCAACAGCTAAGCTCAGATGAGGACCGGACTCGGCGGCATCTCGGCAAAGCCGAGCTCGGGACTACTCACACTTGTCTGCGGTCGACCTACCTGCCAAGCAAACAGGTACCTCGGTCCAACCTTGCCTTTCCTGGCGATGGACTTTTCACCTGACCGGCTTCGCAATCACGAATCCTTGCAGCTCGGTCAATCAACGTGCTGCCTTAACCGAGCAGCTTCCATCAAGGCTGGGCCACACAACTTGGCCCAACACCTGTTCGGCCCAAATCTGTTTGGCACAACACTGTCCGGCCCAACTCTGTCCGACCCAGATCTGTCCGGCATAAATTCCATATCATTAATCTCCCTCTCAATTTCCCCTTAATTCTGTCCGCAAAAGCGTGACTGGGATTACTTATTTCGACCGGGATAACACTTCCTCGGTCCTAAAAATGCGAAATGGCGACCGGGCTAGTTGACATTCCTGTCTGCAAACTTGCTCGGTTATATTCCTCGGTAGACGTCCTCTTCTTCAATAATTGCCGGTTGTCGCCTCGACTCTTCAACCTGTCATTTCAGTTCTGAACGTCATAAATAGGGACACGTGGCAGGCTTCCATTGGACCTCGAGCAGCCAACCCAGCCGTCCGCTAGAATTTGAATTCTTGGCGGTTTCTCCGTTTATACATACAAGCCCCCTCTTCCTCATTTCGCTCCTACTGCCTCTCTGCAATCCGACGCTTCTGAGCTCAAGCACCTTTCTCCAAGCCTCGTCTGCCATTCTTCGTGCTCGAAGGATTAGTCCCTGCCCTTCACTGGTAAGTCCTTCAACTCCTCTATTGTTGCTATTTTCTTAAATATTTCACACATTAGGGCACTAAAACATAGTTCTTAGGACGTAGGCCATAGAAAACGTCCCAAACCTCCCACTGTTCATGGTGTTCTTCATTTTCACTGATGAACTTCGAAGAACTGGGGTGGACCGGGCCAGGTCTTCGTTTGATCCA